CACCTTAAAAAGAAAAAGATTATGCACACACGTCAAACTGTTATTTGGGAATTACTTTTAGACTTCTACATTTCTGGACTTGGGCCGAACTGGGCCATTCAATGTTCTTAAGAAAACTACTTGGGCCTACTGATTGCGCTCATCTAAGGCGGACAACCAGGCTGAGTTACTTTAGGCCCAATAAATCCACGGGAAACGAAGCCCCAAAATATTACCCGCCAGAGCGAAAAGGGTTTTAGGCAATTACGCAAAACAAAAGGGGCAACCGCGTAATTTGACAACCGCTAATAGTCCATTCGAGCTCTCATCGCCAGTCATCGTCTCTCCCTCTTTAAACCTGCAAATTTCCAGATTTCAGCTTCCGTCTGCAAATCGCTAGGGTTTCCATAGATTTCGCTTCAGAAGGGGGTTTCTGGTTCCCTGATCGTCCCCTTTCTCTCTCCCGCAACGCCATCAATTTTTCGGATCGGCAGTGGCAGATCGCGTAAATTTTAGCGAAAATGTACGGCTTCGAAGCGATGACCTTCAACATTCACGGCGGGTACTTGGAGGCCATAGTGCGGGGACACCGCTCCGGCCTCCTCACGGCCGCCGATTACAACAATTTGTGCCAGTGCGAGACCCTCGATGATATCAAGATGCACCTTTCTGCCACTGAGTACGGCCCCTACCTCCAAAACGGTGCGTTTTGTATGCATCTCTTTGTAATGTCTTCATTTCGTTGAGCTTTCTGTTTGTTTATGGAGGAAATGAACACAATTGGGAACTGAATTTTGGATCGTATGATTAAATTAAGACGTGGGTTCTGGAGTAATCAGCCCTTCGATCTGAAATTTAGGTTGAATTAGGGCTTAAATTTCAAGATGTTTCCATTGATTTAGCATTAGTAAGAGAAACATTTCGTGATCGAAATCTTAGTGACTTATAAAAGTTGTGAATTTTTAATGCGCAAATTCTGCCACTAGGTGAATATATTAGGTTGCATTAAGGATGGATTTCAATTTGAATTTTTAGGTTAACTGTTCAATAAAATGTTAAAACCACGTCGAAAGTTTGATACTTTCCTGTCATGGATTGAAATAGATCAAACTTTTCTGTCATGGATTGAAATAGATCTTTATGTTTAAGTGATTTAGAGTGGAGTTGATATGTCACTCTGTATTTCTCTAGTTGTATTTAACCATGACAATTAAAGTATTCCAGTATTACGTTCGTGATAGGAACTGTGTAAATGCGGAACCGAAGAGGAAACAATATGCTAAACTTACTGGGAAACGAATAGATCTTATGGTTGTCCCTCCTTTATACATGTTATCATAGTTTAAAGTTTAGTTAAAAAATTGGTTAATTTAATGATGTACTAGTAATAATTTGGATAACATGTGGGACATAAGGTAGCAGGTGAGATTTTGATACTAGCGTACATTTATACGTGCATGATCATTTTAACTTTTAAGCCCATATATTGGTCTCTCTTGTCTGGTCTATTATTGTTCTTTGCTTATCTGAAGGATTTTCTTGCAGAACCTTCCCCGTTGCATACAACTACAATTGTGGAGAAGTGCACTCTTAAATTGGTTGATGAGTATAAGCACATGCTATGCCAAGCTACAGAACCTTTGTCAACCTTTTTGGAGTATATTACGTATGTACCTGCCTTATTTCCGGTTTGGTAATTTGAATTTTATTTATTAGAATACGAGAAAAGATGTCGAAACCTAAACGTGATTTAGGCTTTAGGCTGGCCCAGTACTCACTAGTCAGCATATCACAATAGGCCATTGTTCCGGCAAGGCAGGAGGATCTTATGACGTGGGAAAATTACAACCTTAATTATATAGGTATTCATCAGTAAAATTTTAGCTGTAACTGGGAATTTATTTAATGTTTCTTATCTTCCTCCAGATATGGTCACATGATAGACAATGTTGTCCTGATTGTTACTGGAACCTTGCATGAGAGAGATGTTCAGGAACTGTTGGAAAAATGCCACCCCTTGGGCATGTTTGACAGGTATTGTCATTTTCTTAGAGCTATGTATTCCATTTTCTTTTATTTATCCTTTTCACTCGTAAGTGTTTTCTACGACTTTGACGTTCTTATAAGATCTCATCTCGTTCATGTTTTTCTCATCAGCATTGCCACCCTGGCGGTTGCACAGAATATGCGGGAGCTTTACAGATTGGTGCTTGTGGACACACCGCTTGCTCCCTACTTTTCTGAATGTATTACATCCGATGTATGATTTAGTGACCCTATACTATTATTTTCCAATGGGTTAGTATTCAGTTGTTGTGGTAGGTATCTGATTTTTTATTCATCATTCTTGTTTTCAGGACCTGGATGACATGAACATTGAAATAATGAGGAACACTCTTTACAAGGCATATCTTGAAGACTTTTACAGGTTTTGTCAGGTAACTTTTGATTTCAAACTCGAGAGTATTTATATATTTCAATCTGTCAAGTTTTTCATTTACATATTTTGTATTTTTTTTTTTCTCATAAATTTGCTTTTGGTCTTATGGACAGAAACTAGGTGGTGCCACAGCAGAGATTATGTCTGACTTACTTGCTTTTGAGGCTGACAGAAGGGCTGTCAATATTACAATAAACAGGTAAGTTAATGTTGAGGTGCCAACAAGTTTTCTTTATGTCGTATTTTCAGAGGTCTTAACCATTCTTCTTTTAATGGCCTCATGCTGTTTGTTCACACCCTGCAGTATCGGAACTGAGCTTACTCGAGACGATCGCAGGAAGTTGTACTCTAGCTTTGGTTTACTGTAAGTTCTTCGGCCATAATGATTTGTTGATGACTTGTAAGTTATGTTATATTTTGGATTGACGACGCTGACAACTGTTTGCATATTTTGTCCAGCTATCCCTATGGCCACGAGGAACTTGCTGTTTGTGAGGACATTGATCAGGTATGCTGTGTGCTTCAATTAGTTTTATTTCTTGCCCAAAATGATACTTGAATTATTGCTCCATCTTCTTGTGAAGGCTGTCTGCTAATTTGGGGCAAGACGGAGTAAATTAAAATTTTATGACATTGTTCGGGTTCACTGGTCTAGATTCTGTTACATGCTAATATCAGTTGATTACCTTATCTCTTTACTTAACGTTCTCACATATTAGTATCGGTTTCGCCTAAGCTGACAACTTGTTTGTTGAAGGTCCGTGGTTGCATGGAAAAATATCCTCCTTATCAGTCTATTTTTTCAAAGCTATCCTATGGCGAGAGCCAGCTGCTTGACAAGGCATTTTATGAAGAGGAGGTGAAAAGGCTTTGCCTGGCATTTGAGCAACAGGTTTGTATTGCAGTTACTTTGCAGCCACGTCTATTTCGTATTCTGGTTCACTTTTCTTTGGGTCTCCTCTCCATTCAGTCACTGAACACTTTTGTTTCTCCCTCCGACCTGCAGTTCCATTACGGTGTTTTCTTTGCATACATGAGGTTGAGGGAGCAGGAGATTAGAAATCTGATGTGGATATCGGAGTGTGTGGCTCAGAACCAGAAGTCCCGAGTTCACGACAGCGTGGTCTTCATATTTTAGTCGGATTAGAGATAAGCATTCGTTCTTTGGCATGATCTTCTGTAAATCTCCTCCCCATCTCATCCCCGAACAAATTGTAGAGATGGGTGCGGTTGCGTTGTTTGGAATATCCCGGTGTTCCCCCTAATAAGCACTTTTGCATATATTATTCCAGTTGTTTTTACTTAAAGAGGGAATATTTCATATTCTGAAGTCGAACATGTTACAGTTGCGAGGATAAATTGGATTTATATATTGTAATTTGAGATATTATATAGTAGCAGTCTTATAGCGAGATTTTTTTCAAATTTGTATAGCATGTTTCTTTACCCAAAATGGATGTTGGATGAAATAAAATTATTCTGATTCTCGATGAATTACTTATGCTCGTAAGGGCATATGCAAAAAGTGTTTATTGATACCTTGAAATTTTACTAAAATACCAACCGGATACACTTCGAAGTGCTTCCTAGAAAAGCATTTGACCAGTGCTTCTTAGATAAAACTTATATAAAATATAAGCGCTTTTAGCTTTCAAAAACCTCTTTTAGTTATTTCAGGTTCTTTCTCGAAAGGCCCTTAGTGTTTTTAATACAAACAATATTATATATACCAAGGATTGGAGAAGTGGGCTAAACTTTACAATAAGCTAGCTATAATAACTTGGTTCGAATTTGCATTTAGGGAGAATCGAACATAAAACCTTATTTATTTAAAATATTAATATGCAAATTTATGAATATATATATATATATTGATATTTTTATTAGTTGCCTTCAACAGAAATTATGGAAATTCTTAATTAGGTATATTAATTTATTTAGATTTAGTCGAAATTAAAGAAAGTTTCTCAAAAAAATTCATAAGTTCAAAATTTGCAATAGGTTCTGACAAATTTTTTGTGGTGAATCAGTAAATATCATCAATATTAATTGATTTATATCTCGTTGATATAAGATGAAGTCTGCATTTCAACGCTTTTTCATATTGATCCTTAATTTTTTGAATATTTCAACAAAAACATAGACAATTTCTTAAATATTATAAATACTGTTCATAAATAAATAAAAAATGTCACTAAACCGTATTATTACGACGCTTATGGCTTATTTTATCTAACAATGGAGAGAGAGGGCGCGAGAGAGAGAGAGAGTAGAGAGATGTGTGTGGGGTTGTTGTTATTCCCTATACAGTGTCAATAAATCAGTAATAATATGATTCAAAATTGCGGAAAAGGATACCCTCCGGATTAGGATTTCCACATCTCAACCATTCATAGTTTATTATGCGGTCAGTTTTCGTTAGGTACTATTTATGTTTAATTTAAAATAATACAAATCAAATGATTTCTGATCGTACGATACACGAACTACTGATGTGAGGATCCACGTAATGGATCCAGAGGGGATCCAGGCTGGAGAATATTGGTCCTTCCCCAGTACAGCATGCAACACAGCTTCAATAATGGAAGCGTCACCGGTCACTCTCATCACCAAAAGTTGTGTACTCTTCACTCTCAAATCCCAATTGTTAGGGTTTTGATTCAATTTCAATGGAAGTCTCATCACCATTTCCACCAATGAAACGGAACAAGAGGTCGCTGTCTCCGCCGGCAACAACCATCGTCGATCTGAACGTGGATTCGCTGGCTCAGTGCGCCACCAACTTAAGCCTCCAGGACCTCTCCAACGTCGCCATGACCTGCAAATATTTCAGAATGGTCGCATATTCCGACTTCATCTGGCGGCGCTTGTACTGGGAGCGGTGGCTGCAGCAACCACCGTCCTCCTCCTCGCAAAAGCCAGAAGTGAAGGAGGCCTATCTATCCATGCGTAAGGATTCGCAGCAATTCAAGTTTTCCGATCCGAATGTCGTCGATATCCGCACCGCCAATTCAAATCGTTTCGATCACATATTATTGGACAAGAATGCTATAGTCTTCTCTCAGGTATATATGATCATATTACACCATTTTCTTTCATGAATTTTGAGTCTGAATATTTGGGAAAAAATCTTCAATTTACGTTTTTTAATTTTTGTTGATTAGGGTTCATGGATACGAGTAATATCGATTGATCGTCCGTTAAACCGAAGGGTTCGCTTCTCACTCTAAGTGGTCACAGTGCAAGAATTAATTGCATGAGGTGGGATCTCTTTGGTTTTCTTTTATTTTGCTTAAGTTTGGCTCAAGGGAAGTTCTTTTATTCCTGAAATATTGACATAAAATGCAGGTTGTTTCCGCTGAATGAAACATATTTATGTCGAAACGAAACACAGAAAGAGGGAGTGTTTTGGTAACTTCAAGCCTTGACCATTCCATTCGGCTATGGTGGAAGGTATTACATGAATTCGGAATATTTTTTCACGATACACTTCTATTGTTTGTTTTCCGTACCTTTGATTTGGTAGAGTTGTCGTTTGCGCCCTACTTAGTTTAGAAATGGCTCGGGTACACCCCTTCAGGGGTTATACAAGAATCAAGATGGCGCCTTTATCTGCAGGAATGTCTCCCTGAAATCTTACTGTTCTGTTTCGATGCTAATGGTGCATTTTTGGCCTTTCATCCACATGGATTGATTTTCAAAGCTAAAACTCCGTCTAAAGTAAAAAACTTTACTTCGTAAGTGGCAGTTTGGTCTAATAAGTTACACTCATGATCTTTTCCTCTACACCAGTCTATTAAATATTTGTTCATGTAATCCATGATTTATCTATGTGATTCAATTACTATTATTGTACTGTAATACCATCATCAGAGTTTTCAGTTCTGTGTTGAGTTCAATATTAGGGACGTAAGGAGAATGATTGCTTATTTTCTAGGTTATGATTTCAACTTTCTCCTAAAGGTCTTAATCTCATTATTTTGTCATAGGGTGCTTGCCGTAGATGTTTTAGAGGTTCCATTGGCCCCATTTCAGCATTGTCAGATAAGTTGTTAGGCGATGGAACAGGAAAAGTATTGGCAAGTGGAGGGAAAGATGGCAATGTTAGCCTTTGGTCTCTTAGCTCCTGTGGTAGGCGTGGCCAACATGCTTTAAAGGCTACTTCCTATGGGCGTGAGAAGCCCATTCGATTGATGTCTGTTGCTGGGTATGAGTTGGTCCTTTGAGGAGATTTTATGTTTCTTTTCAGTAATACTAAATAAACTTCTTGTTCATCGATAAGCTGATTCAACTTCGAAGATAATTTGTAGATATCTACTACATCTCATATGTGATTTGTCTAAAGAAGTTTATTGTGCTTCGGGTGACAAATTTTCCCATAAGACTGATCTATGTGTTTTGGTCTTAATGGCAGGCACAACACCTCTCACTTGGTAACCGTTTCAAGAGATTCTAAGGTATTCTCTTTTATCCTTCGCTAGTAATCGCCGATCAGCCATACAACGGTGAATTCTGTTACTCTCTCATTGGATATGTGATGATTGTGGTTTCTAACAGGTGAGTGTGTGGGATACAAATGCTCGTTCTTCATGCTGTGTGGGGATGACTTCTACTCTTGGTGCCCCTATAGACATGAAGTGTCATGAACATTTGGTCTATGTTGCTGCTGGTTCCTCCATTACGGCAATTGATTTGAGGAAAAAGGAAAAAGTTGCCATTGCTGCAGTGGATGCAAAGATATGTTCTTTTCAGGCAATGCCTTCCAAATCTTTATTCTGCATAGGCAGCCATGGCAGGTACGAAGAGTAGAATTCCCTTGGTTTCATTCGTATTGTGTGCCATATCTAACAAAAGGTTGAAGTTTGTTCTAGTCATAATCTTGACATTGTTGAAAAATGAAGTTTTCTTAATTATGCAGAGCGATGCTTTACGATATAAGGATGAACTGTGGCACCCAGAAATCAGAACCAATAGCGGAGTTAGAGGCTGGACACAAGGGGCCGGTGAATTACTTGCACATGGACCCATACAAAATAGTCACCGGAAGCCCGAAGGATCAGCATGTTAAAATTTGGGAGGCCGACACTGGTGCCCGAACCAATTCCTTGACCTGTGGTCCAGAAGGTGTAACAAATAGAAGATCTGAGCTTGGTGCCCTAGCTGTAAATGGGAGTCGAATAGTTACTGGAATCGTCAATGTCTGCGATGATGTGAGAGGATGTTTACGCTTTAGGGATTTCATAGATGCTTCTTGCACTGACATGAATCGCGATGAACCTCCTGCTACAAGGTTTTGGATTTGATAGTCTTGCATGTTAGTGTGTAAGCGTATTAGCAGAGAATAAATTTAGCCATTTTACTTGTTTTAATCAGAGCCCTTGGATCATATTCCAAATGGATGCTCTAGAGTAAGTTACATTACGTTTGGATGAGGGAAATAAACTTGGAATTTGGATTAAAGACATAATTTATAAATTGACATGCACCAATTCCCTTGTTTGGATTCATAAACATAGAAATTTAGAATTTCCACATGAAAAAAACTTGGAATTTGAGACCTCCAATTCCCAAGTTTAAATCTCATGTAAATAGGTGTCATTTTCCAATTTATATGATTGAGAGTTTAAAAACAACAAATTTCGTATTCAATTCTATTGTTCTTTTAGGTTACCCAAACAAGAAAATTCACAAATTCTATAGAATAAAATTCCATCATTTAAATTTTTGTCATTTTAATATTCCTTAGTAATCTTAAATTTCTTCATCCAAACATATTGTTAGAGTGAGTGATATTTTGTGACGTATAGTGATATTTTGTGACGTATGTAACTATCTCATAGGATAGATGACATGGATGGCTGTGATCATTTCCTTCCGTTAGAAGGGAGAAAGAGGATTATTCCTTTCTGGTTGTAACGGTCATTTTCCATTCTCATATTGGAATGAGAACTGAGAATCAATGAAATCAGTTTGGCTCTCCTCACTGGAATTCTCTCTAGAAATTTTACTTTCATTTTTCTTCCAGAAATTCAAACAATCTCCATTGATTCAATGCGTAAACTATAATCTAACATTACAGGGATACCGATAGTTCAGATGAGTGAACAGATTTTACTTGTAGATGTTGTATACCATATGACATTTAAATATTTGTAGATGTTATAACTTAATTTATTGGATTATTTTCCTTTTTTTTTTATCATAACAAATATTTCTTTCATACATTTCCAAAAGCTTGCAAAGGTTGGTGGTGAGAAGGTAAAAAATATCAACCCCAGGTAAATTTCATGCTTCAAATCCGACGAGCTTTGGTTCTTCTTCACAGGAGGTGTCGTAGCATCTAGGCAGGCCGTAGGTCCTTGTTGTTTAGAGGTTTCTAAGATGCTTGATGCCAATAAGGATCAAATACAATCTTCTGTGGAGAAAATTGGAGGAAATTGAAGAAAACTTGAACAAGCTCAAGCTGTTCACTGAACAAACAAGCTCATTCGTTCACTGCCGCTAAAACGCTCCACCTTGTCTAGATGTTCCTCCAAAAATGTCCATAGATCAAGCTCCAAAGGTTCTTCAAAATATTCTTCGAATAGTGATGGTTCTGATGGCAATGAGGCAAAGACAATCACGGGTCATTCGTTCACGCTGAGGGGAACTACCTGAGCTGGAATAGCTAAGTTGGAGGCCGGAATCAAGGTTTTTGGAAAAGAAGTATGGTACTCTGAAATTCAGAGGCTAACAGATAAAGAGATATGAGGCCACAACTTGTTGCCTCGTTCGTTTCACTGCCTAATGAGAAATATGAGAATCGTGTCGGAGTATCATGAGGCCGAAAAGGGAACCATGGGGACAGTAAAAGTGCCCTACGAAGTGTTCTGCAGCGACTCAGGGCTGGTTTGGTATTGCTGTGCTTTGAAAAAAAGCTGCTGTGAGAATAAGCGGCTGTGCTGTGAGAATAAGCGGCTGTAAAATAAATCAGCAGAGCGTTTGGTAAACTTTTTTGTAAAAAAGCTTTTGGAAAAAAAAGTAGTCTGATAGTGGGTCTTTTCATTAAAGGAGCACTGTAGCTCCGTGTGCTTTGAAAAAAAGCCAGTTTTCCAAAGCTACAAATAGCAGCTTCAGCTTTTTCCTTTGATTTCAGCTTATTCTCACAGCAGCTTCCAAAATAAGCCTTTTTTTTTCAGTTTACCAAACACCTAAAACCCTCACAGCTTTTTTTAATAGGTGCTTTTTTTTTAAGCACCTCACTCCCAAACTAGGTCTCACACGGCCACACCAGCTTACTACCTACTCTAAGCTCGAAACCGAAATTCTAAAATCGTGTGCTTGCTTTACATCATATGTCTCTTCACTGAAGGCCTGTGTTGAAGCTCTTGTTAAGAAACGTTGATATTTTTGTCTAGCTGAATGAATTCAAAGAAGAAGGAGTGAAGAGGTACAGAGTGAAGAAGAAGATTGGAAAATGGCAGCTTCTTACTCTGCAAGTCACAGAGGTGCTTCTTTGATTATACTGATGCACACCCTTCCCTCACACAAGTCGTGAGGTGAGGAATATAGTTGTTAGTGACTGTTGGATTCATTCTCTCTCCTAGCTTTAATCACAGCCACACATCTAAACATGTAATAATAAAAGAAAAAACTCACATGGCACTCATGGCCTTTTTACACATAAGAACTTCACACTTGGCATTCTTAGCACAAGTGAATACACATTTAACCTCATCTTATTTCTAATACTCAATCAGCTAGAGACTTATAATTCAACACTCCCCTTTAAGTCTTGAGCTGATTTCACTCCAAGCATGCTCCTGAGATATTTGAACCGATCTTTAGGCAGAGGTTTTGTGAAAATATCAGCTAGTTGCTCCTTAGTTGGACAGTACACCAGATCAATGATGCCATCCTTCAGTGCATCCTTGATGAAATGGTATCTTCTGTTAATGTGTTTGGTCTTTTGATGGAACACAGAGTTCTTGGTGATTGCAGTTGCTAAGGTGTTGTCACAGTGCACTGGAGTGGCTTCGGTTTGAAATTCACCAAAGTCTTCAAGAACAAATCTCAACCAAATGGCTTGAGTAGTTGCTTCTGAAGCACTGATGTACTCTGCCTCTGTGGTGGAAAGGGCTACACAATTTTGCTTCACGGATGCCCATGAGAATACTCCACTGCCAAAGGAGAAGGCATAACCAGAAGTACTTTTACTGTCTTCAATTGATCCACTCCAGTCACTGTCACAGAACCCAATTAACATTGAGTTCTTACCCTTCACATATTCCAAACCATAATTTAGGGTGCCCTTAATGTATCTTAGCACTCTTTTAGCAGTTCCAACATGCTTACTGGTAGGACAGTGCATAAATCTGGCTAACAGACTGGATGCATACATAATATCAGGCCTGGTTGCAGTGAGATATAGGAGATTTCCCACCATACTTCTGTATAACTCTTCACTTGCTGCACCACTTCTATCATCCGTGGTTAACTTCTCAGTTGCAACAAGTGGAGTAAGCACAGGTTTGCACTCTTTCAGACCAAATTTGTCTAATAAGGAGCTTGCATATTTCTTTTGGTGGATGAAAATGCTTGAAGTTGTTTGAATTATTCCCATTCCAAGGAAATGATGGAGAAAACCCAAATCAGTCATCTCATACTTTTGTTTCATGTCTTCCTTGAATTCTTCAAGCATTTGCTTGTTACTCCCAGTATAGATTATGTCATCCACATAGATCGACACAATCAAAATGTCTTTCTCTTCTGCCTTGATGTACAATGTTGGTTCACTTAAACTTCTTGTAAAACCACACTGTGAGAAATATGTATCAATCTCTCCATACCAGGCCCGTGGTGCCTGTTTTAGACCATACAAGGCTTTGTGAAGTTTATATACTCTGTCTTCCTCCCCTTTAGCTACAAAACCATCAGGCTGCTCTACATAAACCTCCTCTTCAAGAACACCATTTAAAAAAGCAGATTTGACATCAAGTTGATAGAGTTTCCAACTCTTTTGTGCAGCCAATGCTATAAGGGTTCTGATTGTATCCAACCGAGCAACCGGAGCAAAGGTCTCATTGTAGTCTATTCCTGGTTTCTGGGCATATCCCTTTGCAACAAGCCTTGCCTTGTACTTTTGCACAGTTCCATCCAGGTTGAGTTTGGTTTTAAACACCCATTTTACTCCAATTATAGGCTTGTTACTTGGCATGTCTACTAACTCCCAGGTTGCATTCTTTTCAATCATGGATAGCTCATCCTTCATAGCATTCATCCAAGACTCATCCTTAGCCGCATCTTCATATTTCTCTGGTTCTATAATGCACATATTACATTGAGCAAGTACATCATCCAGCTTTCTCCATTTTAATGGAGTATGATCAAATGAATGAGTGTCACTCACACCTGCACTTGACTGTGAATTGATCTGTGTATCATCAATACCACTTGCAGCTTCTTCCAATATGCCAGATGATAAACCACTTGAAACTTGAGTGTCATTTTCTGTATTCTCACTTCTTGGTGTATCAACAGAGTCAAATTCATAAATAGGCAGTGACATATGTCTTTCTGTGCTTCTTTGCAATAATCGAACCAAGCTGACATGTTTCTGTGCTTCTTTGCAATCCCAAGCTGAGTTTTCACGACAACTCGAACACAACATCTCTTGACAAGATCAGTCTTTTAGAGATTGGATCAAATACTCTGTACCCTTTCTCACATTTTGCATATCCAATAAAGACTCCTTTTATACTTTTGGGTTCTAGCTTGTGTCTTAGCTCGGATGGAGTATGAACATAACAAACCGAGCCAAAAACCTTCAAATGGGCAATACATGGTTTCCTTTTGCTGTAAGCTTCAAAAGGTGTTATGCTATCAAGTGATTTGGTAGGACACCTGTTTAATATGTAGACTGCAGTGTGCACAGCTTCTGCCCACATATGGCAAGGCATTCCTTTGTCATGAAGCATAGACTTGGCCATTTCAATCACAGTTCTGTTTTTTCTTTCAACCACTCCATTTTGCTGTGGAGTGTAAGAGAGAGACAGTTGTTTTTGGATTCCTTCTGTGTCACAGTATTGATTGAATTCATTTGATAAGAACTCCCCTCCTCTATCACTCCTTACACATTTTACTCTCATACCACTTTGCAACTCAGTCATGGCCTTGAATTTCTTAAAACAAGTAAGAGCTTCAGATTTGAATCTAAGAAAATACACCCATATCATCCTGGTTGCATCATCTACAAGCAACATGAAATACTTGTTTCCTCCTGTAGACTCATTTCTCATCGGTCCACACAAATCAACATGAACCAATTCAAGTGGAGCACCTGCTCTTTGTGCTTTACCATTAGGAAAACTTTCTCTGTGTTGCTTACCATATTGACAGCCTTCACAAACTCTGTCATACTCATCTAGATATGGTAGACCATGAACCATGTCTTTATCCTTCAATTGCTTGATTCCACCAAAGTTTAGGTGACCTAATCTTCTGTGCCAAG